ATGCAGGTTTATTTCCCTTACGAATAAGTGCAACCGAAGAAAACACAATGAATGTCTTCCCTTTTAATCAATGAGTAGTTGAGAAAGATTTTCAGAAATAGTCCCAAGCAATCGTATATCCTAATGACTAATGGTCTTGGACTAACAAACCTGGCATTAGCGCTAATAAGACAGATAAATGGTGCTAATCATGAAAAAGGCTTCTCTCCTACTGAATATCCGGTTAGAGAAATTAATTTCGTTAGGTGGCTTGAGCAGAATACGAAAACGTGATATTGGCTGGTCCAAGGAACCGCTTTATCTTACCTATCCATTCCACGCATTGCGAATATCAAAAAGTTGCCAGTTGTCGATCGATAATGAGTTTCAGAAGAGCAAGTACATTGTACTAAACTATACTAAGTGACATATAAATACGAACACCTAGTTTAAATGGTTTTATTTTAATAAAAGTTGGTGAATGTATCTATCTTACTGTAAATAACAAGTGAAAAAATTTTCAGCCTTATCAGTTAGACATTCCGGTTTTTATACTGCTTTTTTTTAATTCAATAACTCTAAAAATGAATACTTCAGCCGCAGTAAAGAATCAACGTTGGCGGATTTTGGTTCTTGACATCCTTTACGATCGGTTACGATGCCTAGAGTACGGAGACCCGTACGATTTCATCAACTTAGTGAGTTTGATAGGGGCCATATAGTGGGACTTCGGGAAGCTGGACTTTCTTTTCGGGCAATTGCAGTTAGAGTGTAGGTGTTGTCAGGCATGGCTTCGAGAAGGCCGTACGCAAAGAGCAAGGGGCACTGGACGCCGCCGTAGAACAACAGACCGTGAAGATCGCCGCCTAAGATTATTGGCCTTAAGGGACCGTTTCTCCACTACCAGGTCCATTGCAAATGAATGGTTTGCAGAACACGGAGGACCTATTGGCATGCGAAGTGTTTACCGACGAATGAGAAGTTTTGGCTTGTTTTCATACCGGCCACACTGGGTCCTCCCTTTAACTCGAGAACACCGACGTAATCGCCTTGAGTGGTGCAGACAACGGTCACTCTGGGATCAGGAATGGAACAGTATTGTCTTTAGTGATGAGTCTCGATTTTGTTTAGGCATGCACGATGGTCGTGCCAGGGTTAGAAAGCGACGTGGTGAAAGGAGGAATCCACAGTTTTTTGTTGAAAGACACGTTCATCACACTGTTGGAGTTATGGTTTGGGGTGCTATAGCTTATGGTTCCAGGTCACCTTTAATCTTCATCAGAGGTAACATGAACGCGCAGCGTTATATCCACGAAGTTCTAGAACCCCATCTTTTACCCTATCTTGACACCCTGTTAGATCCAACTTTACAACAAGATAATGCCCGACCACATGTTGCAAGAGTCACAATAGACTTCTTTCAACATAATGATGTCACATTGTTACCATGGCCACCAAAATCTCCCGACTTATCCCCAATTGAGCACGTGTGGGATATGATGAGTAGGAGATTGCTCAATTTGCAACGTCCTCCTCAGACTCTAGAAGCACTTCGAGAGGAGTTGGTGGTTGCCTGGAATGAGATACCACAGGAGGACATTGACCACCTGATCAGAAGCATGCCTAGGCGCGTTGGAGAATGCGTAGCAGATCAGGGTGCATCCACACATTATTAAAGGTCAAAGGGCTTTAAAGCAGTGCAATCATTTTGATATGTTTATCATTTACTTATTATGCTTCATTAAGTACCTACTTATACAAAATTTTATTAAAATAAAACCATTTAAACTGGGTGTTCGGATTTATATATCACTTAGTATATATGAAGGCAACAAAAAGACAATACCATGAATATTTCTGGTTTGTTATACGAGTATATATTTTTGTTTATTGGATGACTGCATCATATGAAATAAAACTTTAGTTCATCCTGAACCAGTAACGTTATAAAGTCTTTAGGTAGAGAGGCACACGTAACGCAACATCTACCTGCAGTTTGTATAAATAGATACGCAACTGGCCAAACACTTGTGCAGCAACATGTTCCAGACTGTTAGATTGGCTGGCATATGTGTCGTGCGCATTTGCTTTGACTTCTGCAACACTTTGTCGAAAAGAAAATATCGAGCATGTATTGCCAACTGAAATCTCTGCATGGGATATATGTACCCCCGATGCCTGTTGCGCAACATGTTGCAGATCCAACAAATTTCTGGCAAATGTATCAACACATGTTGCAAAACAAATTTGTAGCAAAGCGAATGTACCTTATGTGCTATTGTTCTGAATTCTTTAACATCCTGTGGTATCAGTCGAGTATAAGGCAGACCACAGGTGATGTAACACGTAGTCGTTGAAGCAACAAGTTGTTAATGAAATTCGAATCACAGAAGGTTGCGTGACTCAACCGGATCTAATCGCTATTGCTAAATTAGTACGTCACACGATAAGCTTATCAACGGACAAAAATAAGTCATACGGGCCTGTTGTGCCATTATTTTTCAAACTATTATTTGAACCTGTAATAAAAATATCCAATAGCTATGCCTTATTGAAAGGTGTTTTGCACAGACAGTCTTGAAATGTGATAAGCGTATGCTTACTGTACACGGTCCTCGTACAGATATAAATGTTTTCTGGCAAAATCTGAAGTGTCGTTAGGTAATACTTTTTATAGCTACTTTTTGCCTACAGAACTTTGAATCTTAGTACCTCAATAACTCACAGTAACCAGAATTCAATTTCTTTGTTTTATCATAATTCAACAAGTCGCTTACCTTATAGATTTATCGCTTGCACTTAACAGGGTCTGCCATGAATACGACTCGCTAGTTGCTGAAGATACTAAAAAACTGTCTGTTGTAGAGCTAACCTATTTCAAGATTCAAATCTCTCATTGCATAGGAATCCGGCAAATCCGGATTGACACGTGACGAGTGGTTAGTGACTTTGTTCCTTTAAGCTCTCCTATATAACGCCGTAATCTTGAAGGTCTGATGCTAAGCTTATCCAGCTATGCGTTCTATTTATTCATCGAGAAAATGCTTTAGCGATACTGGACTACTATACAGGGTGTTAACGCTATAGTGATCATTACTGAAATAGGTAATAGGGGGGGTCAATACAAGTCAAAAAGTTCATATGATCCATAGTCCAAACGTCAATAGATTTTTGTCTCAATGATTTTATAGTTTATGACTTTAAGTGCTTTATATCGACCACAATCACCACAATCTTACTAATTTTTATAATCTAATCTAAATTGGCTAATTAACAAATAAATGGCATTAAGTTCTTCTAAGTCATTAAATTAAATATTTAAAACTCACATGACAACAGCGCGTCGGTAATTCATCACTCTTATCGAACCGGCAATCTATCGCAAACGGTAACAGTGATTAGGTACGTCATCGTGATGGTTTACAATATACACCCAGACAGAATGACGTTTGTGCAAGTGTACCAAAGACTTCGAGATACAGGGAGTGTTCAGCCCACCAATATTCGCACTCGTGAAAGACAGGTTACTGTAGAGCAGGAGGAACAAATTTTAAATATCGTGGAAATTAATGAAGATATCAGCACTCGGGAATTAGGCAGCCGCATAGGACTATCGCATACCATAGTCCATAGAATCCTATGGGAAATCTTGCTTTATCCCTACCATGTACAACGAGTGCAGGCCTTGTTACCAGAAGACTATCCGCGCAGACTAGCATTCTGTCAGTGGTTTTTGCTCAAAAACATTGAAAATACGGGTTTTCTTAAAAACATTCTAGCGACGGACGAATGTACTTTTACGCAAGACGGGATATTAAATTTCCATAATACTCACACGTGGGCCTATTGGTGAAGGTCATTTCCAACAACTTTTTAAAATAAATATTTGGGCGGGTATTCTTGACGATCAGGTAGTTCGACCTTTAGAGTTACCCCCAAAGTTGTCAGGAGAAGGATACCTTAGCTTTCTAGCCAATAACCTACCAGAACTTTAGGAACAGACCTTATTTGTGGTTTCTTCATGACGGGGCACCACCACACATTTTCAGAGGCGTCATTCAGTATTTGAATGAACATTATCCAAATTGCTGGATCGGTCGAAATGCTCCTGATCTTCGAAAATGGTCAGCAAGGTCTCCTGACCGCAATCCGATGAATTTCTGGTATTGGGGAGAACTTAAAGGGATGGTTTATGGGGCTGGTTCAATAACAACTGAAGCACAACTTCACGAAAAAAATTTGAATGCGGCTGAAATAATAAATGGACAACTTCGAGGACCTAGAGTAAGAAGAAACTGAGTTCGTCGTAATAAAGCTTATGTGGAAAGTGGAGGACGACATTTTGAACACCTTCTTTGAATTCAAAAAAGTGCAGTGTGGGTTTTAAAAAGAAAAACTATATATGTATGTATCAAAATTGCTGAGACAGTTAGTCCATTTTTTTTAATTGTTTGCATTTTACGAGTACATTATCAAATAAATAAATAATATCTAAGTGCCAAAATAAACAAACTCCACCTTTTTTTACACTGCCTTCCGTCTTAATTTGCATCTGGCATTGCGGCGTTGACAGATTTTATTTTACTTTAAGGTCGCTTTTCTCTAAAAAAATGCCGTTTTGACCTTCATGTTATATGAACCTTTTTGCTTCTTTTAACTCCCTCTATCACCCATTTAAATAATGACAATCATGCCGTTTACACCCTGTATATCTTCAAAAAAAATATGAAAAACTTGTGTCAACGACCCCTCCATAATATCATTAGGTCGCAGAGATCCCCTGACTATCTTAAAAAGAAAGTGTTAATTTTGAATCCACACCCAGTGGTCGGTTTAGGGACAAAATCTATGCTTTTGATGTTTTTAGTGAGAGTATCCTGGATTGGTGCGGAATCTACGTTAGCAAGATATGTTTTTTTGGTGCAATATTGCCTAACACCTTCCTATCACTACAAATATTCAAAAATGACCCTTTGACAGTGCATTTTCTGTGATTTGACAGATATTTCTTCTTGTTTCAGATTTGTCTACAGCAACAATTCGAGAGCTCGCTCCCGCTTGGAACGCTACTAGTTCAGAATCGGTGACGGCTGCTGAGTATACCAACCAGAAGCCCCCGTTTTTGCATCCTGGTATGATCATCTTTTGGGCAGCAGTTTTCGGAACTGTTGCTGCCCTTTCCATCTTCGCCGCTCGATTTACAAGAAGACGAAAACGAACGGCAAACAGTGTTGAGGACATTGAGGTTTCCAGTCTACAAGCTGGAATGGTCGAGCTGTGGTGACATCTGGTGACTACAGATCAAAACGATGACGATACGAGAATGTTGTATGATAACTCGGTAACCTGAGAGTCAGATAGAGCTGACAGAATACGAATGGAATTGTTTATAAATTCTGGATGCCCGCTCAGTGCTTGTTATACAATGACACATGTTCCATAATTCATCACCATATACTCGTATATCGCCTGATAACACAATACTAGTGACTGATCAAATATGGGGAGAAGTTCGGAATGTTTCTATAGATGTTTCTCAGATAAATTTCTGAACTCTGTTATCAAGCTTTGGAGCTTCGGAAATTATTCAAACTACTATCTACTAATTAGGACATGACGTGCATGTCGAAATCTACAAACTATATTCCTGATAAAAAATATTTTACAACAAATCTATTTATAACAGAAGCGAGAATCCTCCTCACGTGCACAGTTGACATTGTTAAGGTAAATTGATGTATTCTTGTATCTATATAATATTTGTTGTGGTTGACATTCATCAGCACGTTGATACGTGTTGCATTGCAATTCCATCACCAATGTTCAACATCCATTACTAAAATATTACCCTGACTATGGACGTTAATTATAGATATGCCGTTACACCGTTTCAAACATGCACAACGGTAAATTATTGATTATTGTCGGTGCAAAATTCATGCGGCGCTAACGAGGACCTGTGAATAATAGCAAGATAACCATCGCAATGGACGCTCTGTCAAAACAGGATGCGAAAAAGCCAGCTTTTAGAAATGTCTGCCGGAAAAAAGGAGCGATCGACCTACAGAGTCGATTGCGGCTACCTCATGGAAGAAGTTATAAGATGACACATCGATGCAAAGGGCAGTGCAAAGTTCTTGGAACCGTGGCCTATGGGTAACGTAGTTGACGTAGCAACTGTCCAGACCAAATCTTATGTGACGAGTTGTACAGGTTGAGGAAGCTAGAAGATGAAGAGTACCTCATGGCTTTCTAATAAACTCGAAAGTGGGTTTGAGTGCATCATATTCTTGCTTTTTACTTCCCACGCCGACTGTCGTATTGTAATCAACAATCCCGGAAGACCATGTTACTCATCTCTGTCTGTCTGTATATCGGTCTGTCCGCTAATCCTTGACCCCTCTATAACTTGGAAGATGCCGCTCGGAATTGGATGACATTTTGAAAAACAATGTTACTACTATTCCAAGGATGAAAAGGCTTTATAGTTTTAATGGATCCAGTGGTGGCTGGGAAAAAGACCAATAACGAAAGAAGCAAAAATTGATCAATGGTCCAATGAGCATTCCAATTTTCTGTATGTATTATGAATCCATTCAGAAGTTTTGTGCCACCTCACTCAGGTCACTAAATTGGTCGTGACATTAGAATTTCGTTAAGTTCAGAAAACATCCCCCTTTCGAATAGAAAATTTAAACCCCATAATACCTGCATGAAGTATAAAATAATCATTACTATTCATAGTTTATTGATGCAATGTCTGCATTTTAATGTGCATCGTAAATATAACGATGAGACACGCGTTTGTGATAAATGTGAAATCTATTTTGTATGAACTCAAAGTTTTGTATATGGCACATTGTAAAATATCAGAGAGTAGATTATAAAATAGACAGTACAATGTTTTATAATTCAACGTAATATAAGAATTAGTATCATGTGTTTGTGCAACGTTAGGCCCGTAGTAGGAGAACCGGTCACACCAGACCCTAGAGTATCTGTTAGGCAAAAGGTTGCCCACTTCCAGGCATACTGGCCATCAATTAAATATAACGCTTGGTGGGTTGCGGTTTAAAAGAGTCGACGGGTGGGTGAATATGAGCCCCCCAGCGAGATGGACCCGTCGCTCATCTGTATGGAGCATTTCTTCGTAGAGGATGATAAAGACGGGCGTGCAGATGTTGAAGCATGCTCGGTTACTTACATGCCCTCCTCTTCATATTGATCACCGTGTTGTAGCCCTCCCCCACATGTTAGGACGAGAAAAGAGTCAAAATAATACTTTGACCACCGCGTTTTAGTTGGCCCCTGCCAAATGGGGGAATGTGGATGTTAGAAGAGAAAAAAACAGTAGACAATCAACTTTCCTTGCATAAGGCGTCGGGATGGCAAAAGGTTGGCTACCGATTGTATTATATAAACACTATTTTGCAAACGCAATGAAAATATACAGGGTGTAAACGTTATGATAGTCATTATTTAAATAGGTGATAGAGGGGGTTGAAGGAAGCAGAAAGTTTCATATAACATGGGGGTCAAAACGGCATAAAATCTGACAACGCCGCAATGCCAGACGCAAATTACGGCGGAACGCAGTGTTAATAAAGATGGAGTTTGTTATTTTTGGCTCTTAGGTATTATTTCATTATTTGATAATGTACTCGTAAAGTGCAAACAATTAAAAAAACGGACTTACCACTAACTGTCTCAGCGATTTACCTGGTGTCTGAAAGTTTATTGAACGTATAAAAAAAATCCACTTACAAATAGGGAACACAATTTTGATACATACATTGTTTTTCTTTCTAAAACCCGCACTGCACCTTTTTTGCATTTAAAGAAGGTGTTCAAAATGTCGTCCTCCACTTTCCACACAAGCTTCATTACGACGAACCCAATTCCTTCTTACTCTAGGTCCTCGAAGTTGTCCATTTATTATTTCAGCCGCATCAAAAAATTTTTCGCGACGACGTACGCGAACAAAAACAAAACAACATACTAACCACTGTTACCGTTTGCGATCTATTGCCGGTTTGATAAGAGTGATGATGACCGACGCGGTGTTGTCATGTGTGTTATAAATATTCAATTTAATGAAACTTAGTTACTGACTACAAATTTTGGCTTAAATTAGAAAAACTTAATGCCATTTATTTGTTAATTACCCAACTTAAAAACGTTTTAGAATCGATCATAAAAATTATTTAGATTGTGGTGATTGTGGCGGATATAAAGCACTTAAGGTTGTAAAGCCATTTGGACAAAAATCTATTGACTTTTGGACCATGGGTCATATCAACCTTTTGGCTTGTTTTGACCTCCCCTATTACCCATTTCAATAATGACTACCATAACGTTTACACCCTGTAGGCAGGGAACATAATGTTGATTGCGCTTCCAACAATAGAACGTCAATAATATAGTTCTTAAAAATTGTCTTGTCAGTTAGGCCCTCCGTGTACTTTATAAGAATTAGAATAAAAAGTCCCCTATTAGTGGCAGTTTCAAACGATACAAATTTAAGACTAAACTTCTTTTAACAATCGGTGGATATAAAAGCTGACATCGGCAGCTCATTTTATTTTCTTTAATTCATGTTTCTGTTAGAGACCCCCTTTATTTCTTAAACATTGAGACTGATTCTACGCGTTGGCACATGGCTTGTAAGTCTTTGCATATTTCTGAAAGTAGAGGGGTTACTTGTGACATTTTCCCTGCTTAGAAACTTTCCCACAGCTCATTAATTTGCATAGATTTCGAAATGCATAAATAACATGTCGGTGCGATTCCTCAACTTGCGGAGGCGAACTAACACCTGGTGGGCAAAGTATTGTTCTTAATAAACCAGCGGCCGACAACTTTTTGCCAACCCAGCGCATTCTGCAAGAAAAATTGGTGATACTTTCTTTTTCCTTCTTTTTTCCCTTCTAGCGCGTGGGTAGGATGCCCCATCTCGGGGGGACAAACTGAAACCCGGTACGCAGAGTATTGTTTTCAATGAACAATCGGTAGCCGACTTTCTGCCAACCCAGCCCATATGCAAGTATCATGTTTTTGCTTGTTTTCCACCTACCAACTAAAACGCGGTAAACAATATATTTTTTTCATACGCAGTCGGCCGTCAACCTTCTGCCAACCCAGCGCGGTTTGTAAAAAAATATTATTAACCTTTCGATTTTGCCTGTGTAGGTACAGTTCTCCATCCTGGAGAGCGGGAGGGGCGAACTAGAACGCAACGTGACAAGCATGGTACGACGAGGGCATGCCTGTCTAGAAAAACAGTTGCTTCCTATAGATGAGCGAATGGGCCATCTTCCCGGGGTGTCAATATTGACCCGCCGCCCAACTAACAATTATCACTCCTATTAGAGTTGCACGAATGATTGTACAGTATTCCTTAAACAGCATTGTAAACTGTAAGAACATTGGCAAAACCCTCTTAGAACAGCTAGACGCTGCAGGTAACAGTTATACAACCAAAGTGTAAGCCTCTTGCAGCCGCTATAGGACATTTGCGTCAGTGTAAGATTCAGTTTTTGTCAACTATACAACTATTCTGTTACGTGATTCTACTTTATTGCAACCAAACTATTTCTTATGTATTGTATAGACGAAGTGAAGAATATATAACTAACACATTACAGTCATCTTGTTTACTTACATATCGGCCATTGTGAATTTCATACACAGGTATATGATAAACTTCTACACTGTGATATAGGGCTATTGAATTACTTGCGCAGCAAATTTTATTGTGATTATCGTGCAAATTAGTTACCCAATTTCTACGGGCTTCGTATTTGATTCATATTTTGACAATGATCAAAACTATGTCTAGATTTTTAAGATGGAAAACTGAACTTATCTGCGTTAAATCTTCCACAAATCCTATATTTAGACACAATTACACTAATGTTTATCTCTTTATATCTGTAATTTCGAACTGAAACATAATTATTTAATATTAAATAGAGGAATAAATGTTTGCTAAATATGGCGGGTGGTTGTGTACAATCATGGCATCGTCTTTAGGTTATTAGAATATTTTGGTGTTGCCTGCAGGTGTTATACAACAATTTGACAAATGTCTGAAATGAAATACCGACAGAGTCGAATGATTTACCCACAATTCGTACCAGATCTATATCTTCTGTTTGAACAGTTGATAAAACCTTTTGAACCAATATGCATGCGTCTTAAAACATTGGTTATGGCGTTTTACAAAAATATGACAGCAGAAAGTTAGGTTATGGTGAAGTTGTTTACCAACATATTTAGCATATGAACAGCCTTTAACAGTTACTAAACAACAGTTGTATAAGTGCTTCCGTTGAGAGCAATTTGTTGGCTAAAGTAGTAAATTGCAACAGTTAAAAATTTGCCCTATAAGATGTTGTATAAATATGCTATAAGAATATTTTAAACATCTCATTTTAGAGCAAATATGTTGCAGAAAGCAAATTTGCATTCCACACAACATTAAACCAGCATTTTTGTATTCAGGCAACAACAATAGAGAGCTTTTATGGCTGAACGGTTCTTTTACCAAGAGCTTATACCACTACTTTGCTAGTTGGGCGGTCAACCTCTGGGGTCATATTTCAATGAATTTCGAGCACCCAGTGTACCTGAGCGTGTAAGACATTTTTCCTAACAGATACTCTAGGGTTTTGTGCCACCGCCTCTTCGACCAAGCATTGTGTGAGGAAATGAAACGACACTGATGCGACGCCTACCCAAGACGCTGTTACCGAAAAGATATTATGTATAACAAATATGTGTTAGTGTAGAAAATTATATGTTCGCTTTCCCTTTTTTCAGAAGTGAAGATATGTGTACTGTAGAACCCTAACTAGAGAATAAAATGATTGTACAATGTACAAGTCATGAGGCGTTTCTCCCCTGTCGTTTATTTTCTTGCTTGTATTTTAATTGTCCAAAAGCCCATGGTACAGGTTTGGAATCATTCATAATTTATTCGAAATGACCAATCGGAATATAACTCTGAAAACTTATCTGGTGGTTTTGCGTGATAATAGGCCACATCAGTTGGAACGTAAGTAATTTATACCGGTTGTTTCAAATTCGTCCCTCACCACTAGGATCTGGGAAACGGTAAAAGATACGGATTCGCGTAAATGTGGACAAAGTTGCGTATTTAGGTAACTATCAAAATGTCACTTAACCAGTTTTGAAATTCAAAGTACTTCCAAAGAGAGACGGAGAAACCTAAATTTCGCCAAAACCGCTTTAGTTTTTCCCTGACCTTATTGCACTGAGATTTCAATATAAATTGGAGATTAACATTTTCACACTTTTCTTCATCTACAGGATGGCATAATCAGAATTTCAATATCAACCGTATGTTTTCTCATGGACGCCATACTGTATTTTTGCACAGATAAATAGAGCTTTTAATACTGATTCCAAAAAAGGATAGTATGTTGTACATTGACCTTCCCAAACCTTAGTTACTTTAAAAAAGCAGAATTTCATAGGTGGGCCTTGAGATTATCTTATAACCATTGGTCCGGTATACTAACTATATTTAGCGCAAAATCATTTTTTATTTTTCCTGACTTTACTTGAGATCTCTTAGTAAATTACATGTTGCCATTGTCACTTTCTCTCCCCTACAAGGCTGCGTAGTCAAATTTCCGATTCAAGGTTCCCTCTTTCGACTTACATCGCCAACTTTGTTTTTTCGTATGGACGCTACATTGAAATTTCTTACATTTGAAATTTTCAGTCCTAAATTCAGTTATATATTTCCTTAGTTGGCCATGAATTTGTTGTTGGAACGAAAATTATAATAGAATTAAAACGGAGAAACCTGAACTCGCTTTGACAATTTGATTGATGGTAACAACAATAATAGTCACAAATGAGCAAAGGCAAACCATAGCAGATGATGATGAAATAACTAAGGTTTAGAAAAAATGTCAATGTATGACATATTATATATTTCTGGGATCAAAATTATAACTTTGACTCACCTGTGTAAAAATCCAATATGGCGTCTATAAGAAAAAATAAAGTTGGTACTGGAGGACAAGGGACGAAGGGTCATACTGAAATTTTAATTGTGTCGTCTTGAGGAGGAGAAAAAGTGACAAGGTTAATTTGCAATTTACTTAGAAATACCACTTCAAATAGAGTGAGGAAACCATTAAAACGATTTTGGAAAAATTCCTTTGTTTCAGTCTCTCCCCGGAAGTACTTTGATTTCGAAACAAGCGGCGTTTTGTTGGTTACCAAAATACGCAACTTTGCCCGCATTCAAGCGACTTCGTATCTCTTACCATTTCAGAGGTCCCAATGATGAGGGTCGAATTTTGAAATACCCGTTATATACAGGGTGACTTTGAAGTTGAGTCATTAATTTTCAGATAATGATTGTAGAAGGAAGATAAACCAAAATATGTGTGTAAAAATAAAAAAAAATAAAAAAAATGTTACCTTGTTTTATAAAGTATCCTCACGACAAGTATTTCAGTGCGGACCTGTATTTGATCGTGCGGTCTTGGAGCACCGGCATGCCCTCCCCTGTGAGGTCTTAAGTCACCTGATTCACGAGCCCTTTGTACTACATTCAGCATTTTCGTAAACATGTGCCATTATTCACTATTCACTCACGCGTTACCGACTGACACATCGACTGAATACAACTGAATAAAATTGTACATTGTAGTAAAAACATCGTTTCAAATTCTTTCGCTTTTTTGTTTCCGATGCGATGAACGGATAAGGCGGATTATATCCGTTGTTGCCAAACACGAGCACATAATATTATTATTGAGACAGGGCGGTAGTCAAACTTCTAAAGGGCTATAACTTTGTTACTTTAATTTTACCAAAAACATGTTAAAGGAAAAAAAACATTTCTTTTGATCTGATCTACTCACTGTTAAAATAAATGACTCAACTGCGAAGTCACCCTGTATATGTCGTATGATGTAATTTAAAATCAAGGAATGTAGACCACGAGTATTTGGTATGTCTTTCTTATCACTTCTTTGTTAGAATCTGTGAAATTCACCCAAAATAAGACACAGTTGAATCCAATGTAAATTTTACGTCACAATGTTATTGACTGACAACCTTCACCATTGGCTCTTTGACTATGGCTCAATGTATCTATAGACATAACTGCTGGAACGTATCTGTTTTGTGTAAATATGAACATACTCCCGTTCTCCATATACAATCGCAGAATGCGTTTTTGTGTTAGATTGAAGGCAATTCAACAATAACTCAGACGGTATACTTTGTCTGATGAGGTACATTAGGGCACCTCCCCAAACGAATACTAAAAAGAACATCTGAGTTATTTATCTTTTTCAGATTATATGGTCCTGAGTACCTCATTAATATTGCATATAACGGAAATTTACAGTTACCTACGCTATTGATTGCCTTCAACTTAACCAGATTCACATCTAGTAAAAGTATTTTGTATTAATTTTGCTGTGTGGTATGTTCCTCTCGCAAAATATACTTTTTGCTACTAACTGTATATATTTATATATTTCCTTGCGAATTCGTTTCAATGTATGGTGATAGATGATAAATAAAAATTAAAAAGCTATTAATTTTTTTTTATTTTGCATAAATATACGTCTCAATTCAAGGCGAAATAATCAGTCGTTGCGGGGAGATAAGATTCCATCAACAATTTTGGAAGGTGTTTAAAAATGTTCTGCAACTCGTCCAAGAGCTCCACTAGATCCGCGTTTCTATAAATGATAGGGAATCGGTCGGGATACAAAATAAATACAAAACGTTATTATACAAATTTGCATAGCTTTTGCCGGAATATGTGATTAATACAATAACAGATCATGTAAAAATAATAACAGTTTATTTGCTCAAAATATACTAAGTGACATATAAATCCGAACTATTAAAAACAAACAGTCAATTTTGACAACTCGAACTGTTATAGCTAGAGCACTGAATTTTTCATCAGGAAAAGCTTTATGATCCCATATTTTGTTCATATTTATCATCTTTTATCAGTTTTTTGGGCGGTTTATACAGGTCGTTCATGATCACAAAATAAAAACTTTCTCAAAGTGCTTGTGTATCTTCTCATTTCTTGATTCCTCTTTCTAGAAGCTTTCCTTTCATGTAAAATTTATGGAGGAATGTACGATTGGGTTTTGAGTTACAGCGAAT